TTTTATAACTTTCATTGTGATTTGGGTGAAAGTTTACAGAGCAAATTGGTTTTCCATTCAACAGTCCATACACATTTTGTTTTGTGACACTGAGTACAGTACCCACAATGTAACAGCACTCTTCCCATTTCCTCTGTGTGTTTACCATTTCCCTTTGTCCTTCTTTCCTATTCCTTCCTGCCTTCTGAGCTTTATCCCCTGGCAGATGCTGCCCTTTGATCTCATGCGGTCGATTGTCCCAAGAAGTGTGTGCCACCCTGGTGTTATTGTCTAACTTACAAGTCTGTCTGTGGGGTGAGTTCATTGCCAGGCTTGAAGGGTGACTAAGCGCAATAGTCTCGGAATTTCCACCAGTCTATTAGACCAGTAAGTCTGGTTTTTTTGTTTATATCTTTTCTGATTTTAAGTTTTGTTACACATTTTTCTCCCAGTCTATCCAGGACCTCCTATTGTAATCTCTTTTGGATGGTCAGCAGTGGTAGCTGGGCACTATCTAGTTCTTCTGGTCTCATAGTTGTAGAGGCTGAGGTTCACATGATCCATTAGCCCTTTGGACTAATTAATTCCTTGCGTCTTTGATTTTCTTCACTCTTCTTTGTTCCAGATGGGGAGAGACCAATAGTTGCTGCTCACAAGCTTGTAAGACCCCAGGTACTGCTCACCTTAGAAGGATGTAGAACATTTTCTTTGTGGACTATGTTGTACCAGTTGACCTTGATGTTCCCAAAAACTGTGGTCCTTAGCCCCCAGGCCCAGCAACTCATTCCCTAAAGGTGTTTGGTTATGGCTAAGAAGTTTTCATAACTGCCCCCTCTATGCTCTACTATATTCATGGATATATTTGCAGCACATATAAATACATTTGTCAAACTTGTGTATTCATGGGTATAGTCCCATTCACCTTCCCACCTCTGTCCAGCTTGTGTATCTATGTATCCACTCATAGATTATTGTTATTATTGTTATTGGGGGATTATGTACGTAGTAATGTTTACATTTGTTGCCTTTAACTCTTGTGCTCCTCCCAATGTCTTCCTTTAACTTGATCATTTTGTGCTGATCACCCCTTATTGTATATTGCCTTTTCCTTCACCTCTAGTTAGTGGTTTACCCTCCATTACCCTCCTGGTAACCTTCAAAGAATGTTTTTTTCTGTGTATGAGCCTTTTCTCGACTTTTTACAGTAGAGATCCTATACAGTATTTGTCCTTTTGTGATCGACTGAGCATAATATCCTCTAGGTTCATCCATGTTATGAGATGTTTTGCAGATTCACTGTTATTCTTTAACGTTGTGTAGTATTACATTAAGGAGCTCTGGTGGTATTGTGCCTAAGGTATCTGACTGGTAATTGGAAGGTTGGTGGTTCAAACCCACCAGCCACTCTGCAGAAGGAAGACTGGGCGATCTACTTCTGTAAAGATTTACCACCTTGGAAACCCAAGAGGGGTCGCTATGAGTCAGAATCAATTCTGTGGCAGTGAGTTTGTTTTATTATTATTACTATTATGTTTTAGTATTACATTGTGTGTATATACTATAGTTTGCTAATCCAGTCATCCACTGATGAACACTGAGATTGTTTCCATCTTTTTGTTATTGCAAATAATGCTGCAGTAAGCATGGGTGTCTGCATCATGGCTCTTACTTCTCTAATATCCCTAGTAGTGGGATTGCTGGATCATTTTTATTTTCAATTTTTAAAGGAAGCACCATACCATTTTCCACAGTGATTGTACCATTTTACAGTCGAGGATTCCAGTCTCCCCACACTCTTGCCAGCATTTGCTTTTTTTTTGTTTGTTTGAAGTTTGCTATCAATGCTGGGGTGAGATGGTGTGTCGGGTTTCTTTTGGCTGATTTGCAGAAGTAGAGTGCTACGCCTTTCTTTTTAGTCTATCTTAGAATCCAAGCTCTGCTGAGTCCTGTTTAGGATCGTAGCAACACTCAAGCCTCCACTGACTGAGAGGTGGTTGCTGCACATGAGCTCCATTAGACAGGAATCAAACCCATGTCCCCTGCATGGAAGGTGAGAATTCTACCACGGAACCAGCACTGCCCCTGTGAGGTAGTTAGAGTGTGCTTCTTGCCTCCACTTTATACAACAGAGATCCATAGACACACAGCTCAAAGAAACTCCAAGATTTAATGCAAATCCAGACCTTTTGACTTCCAGTCTTGGTTGTTAGTTGGTTTCTACCACAATTCTAACATTTTTAGCAAATAACATAGAAAGAGACCTCTTTCTTTTTATTTTTCATTTAATGTATTATTTAAATATATTTACAACAATGATGGCGGGGGAAGAGTAGCTGCTGAGACTGGTTATGTACAACCAAATACCTCATGAAGTTTGGTTCCTTGGTTTGAAGGTTTAGGATCATGGTTTCATAGGACATCTTAGTTCATTGGCCTATTGACATGTTTAGTATTTCTGTTCTACCTCTTAGTCTGTGTAATGCCTGGGATCTTAAAAACTTGCAAGGGGCCATCCAAGGCACAACAATTGGTCTTTAATTGCCTGGAGCAGCAGAGGAAAAAGGAAAGTTGGAATAGGGGGGAGATGTGGAATGTGTGACTGATTGCCTCCATGAACAACTGTTCCCTCACCATGAGACCAAATTAAGTGGATGGTGCCTGCCTACTATTACTGAACATTGTGATCAAGAATTCTATACAGGAATCCTGATAAAAATGGGGAAAATACAGAACAGAACCTCAGATTCTCATGGACTTCAGACTTTCTGGAGCCATGAATGTTGGAAGAACCCCCAAAACTATTGTCCTCAAATGATCTTTAAACCTTAAACCAAAAATATCCCCTAACGTCTTCTTAAAACTAAACAATTGTTTAGGTTAACTGGTGAAGAATGTCTGCCTTTAAGCATTGTGCTCTTTTAAGAACTATTCATATGGGATCTGATTGACAATAGCAACTCAGAAGATTAGATAGAACCTTCGAATGGAGAAAAGGAGGGTGAGAATAGTTGCACAACTCAAAGAATATTATCAATGTCCCTGAATTGCACATGTAAAAACTGTTGAATTGGTGTATATTTTGCTGTATATATTCTCAACAACAACAAAATAAATAAACTTTTAAAAAGAATAAAAACAATGTTTAAGAGCACTTACCACCTCTAGGGTCATCAGAAGCACAGAGAAGGGGCCCAGAGAATCAATCCTGTCCTTTCTCTTCCCAAGCAAGTGAAATCCCCAGCTTTCTGGTAGATTAGTTCTTTTACTGTAAAATAACCATTTTGTGCCCTGCATGTTTCCTTGCCTTTCTGCCTGTGGTTTCACACATCTGTCCTGACAGTTCTGTTCTCTGCAGGTGCTTGTAGTGACAAGAAGCTGGTGGGAGGTGTCTCTGGTCAAAAGGTGGTTGTGAGCTTTTCTTTGAGGTCCTAATCTGAAAAAAATTCCCTTTGCTATTTGATATAATGTGAACAATAGCATGAGAAATCCTTCTACATCCATGAAGATAAATATGTCTCATTGGTGTAATCTTTCCAAATCTAAACAGCTTCAAAGATTCTGCTTGAAATGCCTTAGGGTCCTAAAGCAAGATCCATGCTCAGATACAGTTTCTCTTTATTGTTACCCTTTGGACTCAAGATTTATTTTGGTGTCATCAGCCGTGGCCAGTAGCCACATTCGTCTTTGATTTTTTAGGTTGTGATTTTCATAATCCAAGCCTTGTAAGGATACAGAAAAAACAGTAAATTATATGAACAAACAAAAAAACTCACTGCTGTTGAGTCAGATCTGACTCATAGCGACCCCTCCTAGGATTTCTGAGGCTGTATCTTATGGAAGTAGATTGCTTAGCCTTCATTCCCAGGAGTGGTTGGTGGGTTTGAACTGCTAGCCTTCTGGTTAGCAGTCAAGTGACTTAGGCACTGTGCTACCAGAGCAATTTGCATATCCTCAGTTACTTAGTTCACTGTTTGAATTTGGTTAATGGGTCTTTTGTGATGGAGCGGAAGCTCAGTGAGATCCAGGCGTGCCTGTCTTGTCCATTCTTTACCTCCAGCACCTGACCATAGCAAGCACTTGATGACCATCCATTCCCTGACTGCCTGATACTTTGTTTCACAGGAACAGACAATCTGCAGATAAATGTCACCCCAAGCTCAGAATCATTTCCTCACCCGAAGTTGTTACCAATCTCACCAACATGGCCTTTCAAAGAAGTCAAGTCTTCCTCAGCAGTGGACAGGACCAGGGATGTGCTGGGACCGACCCCTGACAACACAAGCTTCCTTCAGTTAACCCAAACACCTCTGGCCAAGATGCACCGCAGAACTAGAGCTCCTGTGGATTTCTCTTCCCTGTACCAAGGAAGTGGACACAGCACCTCCCTTGAGCCTTCCAAGGATTCCACCAAGCCCCTGGTCCAACCAAGACCTCAAAGGGGAAAAGCAGCAGCTGATGAGCCAGGTTTGCCTCACACCAGCATGCTCTCCCCATTGTCCACAGTCCCATTGGTGATGTCCTTGAGTGCTGTCCTCCCATCTCAGCCAGTACCAGTAGGGGGTCCCTCTGTTTCAAAGCCAGGCATTCTTCCACCTTTCCCTCAACCTTCATCCTCTTCATTGGCTCCTGATTCACCTCATTCCATCATCTTTTCTAAGACAGCAGAACAGCCCATCAAAGTGCCTTTATTCTCCCAGACAGCCCTAGCTGACTCCTACTCAAGTCAGAGTGTAGCTAACTCCCTAAGACCATTTGCTGACGAAAAGAACCACACTTCATCAAATAGCACCCAAGATTTAATAGACATACCTCATCTAGGTTTTTCCGGATCCTCAGCAAAGCACTATTCTGAACCCTCTCCAACAGAGAGTCCCCACTCAGCAGGCTCACCCACACCTGGGTTTTGGAGCCCCATGGCAGAACTGGCCCGTCTGTCTTCCCCTCCCCTAGTACCTGGAAGTCTTCTTTGGCTTCCAGGTGGGACCCCCTCACTGTCAAAGTTGGAAGTAGCTTCAAGTCCTATGTCCACACAGCCAGTCAAAGCTGAAGTGGCTAAAAGAGTGCACAAAGGGGTGCCTTTGCCGACTTTTACGAGCACAGCAGTGGCCCCTGAGGCTGAGCCTTCACTTTTCCAGACCACAGAATCAGTGGCAGTAGAAAAGGCCAGCAGAAAGCTTGTCCCTGCCCCTGTAAATGGCTCTGCTCACCCGCCGCATTTGTCAGCAGCTCCAGTGCACTTCGGAGGGCCTGCCCTTTCAGCTGAACATGCCTCTTCCTCTTTGGTGCCACCTCTGCCTTCTACCACAACAAGTCACGGGAGAGCCATCCTTTCAGTTCCTGCATCCCCATTGAACAGCACAGCAGACTTTCCCTCCATGTTTACTCTCCACCAGCCAGCACAAAATCATGCCTCTCCACCCAGCGTGCCAAAAATGCCAGCTCCTCAAGAAAAGGGTGATGGTGGGCCGCTTCCCACTGCACCTGCAGACTTCCTCCTCTCCAGCAATGCTCCTGATCTTCCTTCCATGATTTGGACATTTCCTTTGAGGAAAGAGGGTAGCATGACAGCTGTTTTAAAGGAAAATGAGAAGGCAAATATGACAGTTCCTCTCCAGGCCCTTCCAAGTGAAGAATTTTCAACTCTTCCCACTGTGAGCAGATTCACTTCTGATTTTAGCACTGGTCCTGTTTCATCCACTGTCATTACAACACTGAAAATAAATCTCACTTCTTTAGAATTACGTCTGCCTTCCATTCCATCCACACACACCACCCAGACTGGTTCCCCATTGCGTAGCTTTTCCAATACCAAGTCAGAGACTTACGCAGCTGCTATAGGCTCTTCTGGATTCCCAGCTTCAGCTTCCAAGCAGGTGACAGCATTTCCCTCTTCCACTGATGTTTATAATTCTTCAACAATGGGGCACTTGAAAAAGCTGGCAATCACAGATGTTTTCTGGAGTTTTTTTTCAACGGAAACTAGGTCTCCTTCTACAGAATTGACAATATCTGGCTTGCTGCAGCAAACAAATTATGATTTAAATGAAAACACAACTAACCCTAAAAGCTGGGAAACTCATTCATCTTCACCTACTACTCCCAGTGGTTTAACTTCAGCTGCCAGTGCAATAAACTCTCAGGATTTCAAGGATATTGATGGGCATTCAGTGACTGCAGAAGGTTTTAGTGTTCAGGATCCATTCCTGGGAACAGGCACAATCCAGCCTGCACAAAGACCAAATGTTACTATGGTTGGAAACTATACAAATATGTGGCCCACAAGTAATAACAACTATACCAGAGACTTGGAAGCAGCTGAGGTTGAAGATTATCCATCCACAAGTCAACATTCTGGGTCTCATCCCCACTCACAGCTGCCTGTCCATCCAACACATCCTCTTTTGCCAGCTCTGCCAAGTCTAACTGTTCCAGCTAGTTTGCAGGAAATGCTTTCAGATGGAGTAGACACAAGTTTCCAAAATTCCAGCAGCAACTATCCATCACCTGGGATAAATGCTTCCATACCACTTGAGAATATCCTGAGAGATCACTCTACTGCTGAATCTGCTCCTGTATCAACCAGTGCCTTATTCAGGACACCCTCCAAAGTGCTGCTGGCTTCTCAACACCCCAGGAAATGGACAGGTGCAGCCACTAATGCAGGTAGTTTGTTTCCTGGTACCCAACCAACAGGTATGACTACTTCCATGGCCAAAGCATCTTCAAGCTCAACACAGATAACTAGCTTTACTTTGAAGGAGCACACACACCCTTTCAGCAATGTGTCAGTCCCATAACTAGTCATGCCACTGATCCTCTGCCTACTTGATTTTTTAAAGGATTCAGAATTTAAGTGTCCATATGACCAAACAAAGCTTTGCTATAAATGGTGTTCTCATTATGGTTAATCAACTTAATGAGCCTAAAGCTGTTTTGCCCAAATTCTCCCCACTGCAAGGTCAGCGCTCAGAGACTGTTCACTGTAGCAAACCTGTAAGTTGCATCCATTCATCACCAGAACAAGTGGTGTGTGCATTTCAGGCCAATAACAAATTGCTTTATCTCTCATTTCAGTGGACTCCTCGGTGTCCTCCAAGGCAGAACCAATAGCAGCATCAGCAGCCACAGTGTTCCTGAGGAAATCGAGTCCACCAGCACTGTCTGCAGCCCTACTCGCTAAGGGCACTGGCAGCAGCCCTTCAGCCATGGCTGCAGGACTAGCCAAGAGCAGTTTGACCACCACTCTCACAAAAAATGTCACAAGCAAGATGGTGCCTGGCCCAAAGGCAGTAGCAGGGGCTGTCCATACAGCCTTCCCATTCACACAAACCTACATGTTTGCAAAGACAGCACATACCATGAGCACACATTCAGCCATGCAAGGGAACACGGTCACTGCCTCTGGCCTGTTATCCACAACACACCTCCCCAGGAAACCACAAGCCATGCACACCCTTCCAAACCCCACCAACCCTGAGATGCCCAAAGTGTTCACCACACGCCCGCTGACAATCACAGCAGCATTGACCTCCATCACAGCTTCTGTGAAGGCAACCCGGCTGCCACCTCTGCCAGCAGATGCTGCTCGTCCTGCTGTGGCCACTGAAATGGTCACAACTGGTAAAATGGTGTCCAACCTGGAGTGTCAGATGTCCAGTAAGCTCCTGGTGAAGACAGGTAAGCATCTACTGTCCCTCTGATTTTACGTGAAAGCATCAAGTTCATCCTGGCCTCAGAGGTAGCAGAATTGTTCTATTTTCTTTTAGATCAACCAGGGGCGTTTTGCCATTCAGGTGACATTTGGCAGGATCTGGAGGGCTTTGAAATTGTCACAGCTTGGGGGAGGGGTACTACTGGCACCTAGTAGGTGGAGGCCAGGGATGCCACTAAACATCCTACAAGGCACAGGGTATTTCCCCAAAACAAGGGTTTATCCAGCCAAAAAGTCAATCATGCCAATATTGAGAGAGTATTTTTTTATCAAGTGACAAAGGAGAAGAAGGTCATTATGTGACATAGATATTAGAGTCGTGGTCCCAATCCTGGGATCAGTGCTCCCTGGGGAACCACAGTTTTGTCATTGGATCCTGGGAATGCAAATATGTACAAAGTTTTGCCTGTAGAATGAATAAGTAAATCACATGAATGAATGATATAATTTGTCAAAGACAAAATCTTTGAAAGACTACACAATCCAGAAAGGCTTTTTGTCATGTATTTTCTTAATCAACTGATACTAAAAGTACAGCTACAGTACACTATGTGGGAGCCTGGTATTTCTTTTGATGTTAAAACAAACCTTCTTCTTGAAGAAATTGGGTGGGCAGCATTAGAACTGTGAGCAAAGCTTGTATGCTATGTTTTTAGCCCCCTCCCCTCAGTTGCAGCAAAGCAGGCCCAGAATGTAAGAGGTGCTTTTAATAGTGTGGTAGTGTTTGCTATAAAAAGCATTAGACAAATTATTTGAAAGAACTTGCCAATGCTGAATGCTCACATCCCGCCTTCCTCCTCACCCTACAAAGAATTAAACAAAATTATATCTTGAGACATGTCCTATTCTAAAAGGAGAAATTGTGAAACTAGGCATAGCACAAAGTAAACTATCTCTTTCTATTTCTCAAGAAATTATACCATCTGTTTTTTCACTCCCTTCCCCCTCTGTGCCTCCTCCTCTGAGTGGCAGGTGGCCCAAGCCACCCAGATGCAGAAGTCTCAGACATTCTCCCCTTTCTCTCCTCCACTGCATTTCTGCACCCCAACCACATCCATTCAATCACCAGATCCTCTAGTTCTACCTCCTAAATGGCCCTTCTCTCCATCCTCACTGTCATTTCCCTAGTTCAGACTATCACCATCATTCATCTAAATTTCTACAACTGCCAAATTTATCTCTCTGCCTTCAGACTTCCCTCCTCTCCAATCTGTTCTGCGCTCTGCAGTCAGGAGAACCATCTAAAATACACTCCTTTGCTTAAAACCATTTACTCCCCATTGCCCTCAGGACAAAACCTAAACATTTATACTGAAATTATTTCCCACTCTCCCCTGCACCTCTGCACCTGGTGTTCCATCTGCTGGGAGTGAGTGAGATAACCCTCCTACTCCCTGGTTTAACTCAATCCAGTTATTCCTTTGGATTCCACTGAAGTACCACTTCCCACAGGAAACATCCCCGGATTCCCATCCCCTTCCCAATTCAGGGCTGGATGCTCCTCTCAGAAGCTCCCACAGCATCTTAGCCTTCCTTTCCCATCACACCTGCACATTCAATCTCACATGCATCTTCTTGTCTCCACCCCCACTTGTGAGCACCTGCCTGGTTTGTTGCATTCTCTTCTGAGATCCTGCAGGTGGCTGGGGCCTCCTGACCTTAGGACTTTAGTGGGGCTCCATCCCACCCTTAAGGAGCTCTGGTGGCTCAGTTAAGCACTTGGCTACTAACCAGAAGGTCAGGGGTTCAAAACCACCAGCTGCTCTGCAGGAGAACGATGTGGCAGTCTGCTTCTGTAAAGGTTACAGTTTTAGAAACTCAATGGGGCATTTCTCTCTGTCATACGAGGTTGCTGTGGGTTGGAATTGACTCAACAGCAATGGGACTGGGTTGACCCTCTCGTTGGTTGAATCTGTGCTCACTGTCTTTGCTAAGAACTAACCAAAGATGGTGCCCCTGTGGGAGAAGAGGAGGGCTCCTTGATGGTGATGTCCGCTGACTTGTCCTGATTACCATGCTTCTGTTTTGCCCTACAGTTCTCTTTCTGACCCAAAGGAGAATGCAGAGCAGTGAATTCTTGAAGCTCAATGTGGCCAAAGGACTCACTCAGGCCTTGCGGAAGGCCTTCCACCAGAGCGATGTCTCTGCTCACGTAAGTCCCTTGCTTCTGTAATCAGGCTACTCCAGCGACGTCTTCCCCTTGGTCCGGAGTGTGTTTAGATTATTTTCTTCCTCTCTGGGTGCTCTGGTAGCATAGTGGCTAAGACACTTGCCTGCTAACCAGACGGCTGGCGGTTCAAGCCCACCAGCCACTCCTCGGAAGGAAGGTTGGGCAATCCTACTTCCGTAGTGATACTGCCTCGGAAACCCAAGGAGGGGTCGCTATGAGTCGGGGCCGACTCGACGGCACATAACAACAACAACAAGGTGCCATAACCACACTTGCCAGAAGAATGATCTCCCTTCATTTTGGCAAACAGCTCATTCATGGTGGCTAGACACAGAGGTCAAATTTCAAGACAGAAAATTGAGGCTAATGACCTTTTGTCTAGATTTTTCTTTTTAAGTTGGATGTGCGGCACAGATGGGTAAGCACTCGACTGCTTACTGGAAGGCTGCTGCTTCAGACCTGCCCAGAGGTGCCCTGGAAGAAGACCTGGCAGTCTGCTTCCCAAACCCCTGAGAACCCTGTGGATGTGGCTCTGCTTTGTAACACACGGGTCTCCACGAGTCTGAATTGCTGGCAGCTGGTTAGGTTTTTGTGTCTTAATGCTGTTTTAGATCATCCCGTTATCCTGTTGGGAGCTCTGGTGGCGTAGTGCCTAAGGCACTTGACTGCTAAGCAGAAGGCTGGCAGTTCAAACCCACCAGCCACTCCTCAGAAGGAAGGTTGGGTGATCTACTTCTGTAGTGACACTGCCTGGGAAACCCAAGGAGGGGTCGCTATGAGTTGGGTCCGACTCAATGGCAGTGAGTGTGACTATCCTGTTGCTTTAGGGAAATATTTAATACTGTGAATGTAATACTCCAGAAATCATTCCATTGCTTTTTCCTTTATTTTCCTTATCGTTAGGAACAGTGATTTATTTCTGGACGTTTAAAAATAATTCTGACTTATAAATCAAGTCCAACTTTGCTTAAATTGCCAGAAGCAGACAGGGAAGTAAACAGGTTTTGTTTTGTTTCCTTTAATGCCATGAATTGTTTAACAACTGCTGGCCAATTCTGATGGCATATCCAAGTGCTTTACACTCTTTTGGTTTGATTCCAGACATTAAAGCAGTGAATGCAATTGGCAGTCAGGGCTCCCCCTTGCACCACTTAAAGCTATTGCTCTGTCTTCCTCCTCGGATGCTGTCTACAGCTGCGTACAGCCTAGTGATCCTCCCCCACCCCCAAGGACTGGAAATGAGAATTGGTACACAGTTTATGAGTCATTGTCAACCTCATTTATAAAATTATGAAAAAAAGAAAGGTATCCTTTGCAAGTTTTCTGGCATTTCTGCCCCAGAAATTATATTTGAAAGTTGAAAATGTGAATGTTTTGTTACCTAATACAATTCTTACTAACTTACTCATTTGCAAACTGTTTTCACAGTTTTTGTCTATTCTGCATATCGTCACAGACTACTGTGATGATGAATAGGTATTAGTGTTTTTAATTGGCTCCCTTTGTAAAACTAAAATACATTTCTTTTGAAAGGACATTTGATATTACCACCATAAATGGAAACCAGGATCATTTGCCACAAATGAAAGGTAATTGTAAAAATGAGAATAATAGAAACAAAGCTAAAATTCAAACTAGATATTTTTGCCTGCTGAAGTCTCTAAGCCCAGTGTCCCTTTTTGTTTTTGTTTTTTAAAAGAATCCTCAAGGGCTTTAGGAGTGTTGAGGAGTCCCTAAGTGGTTCAAATGGTTGATGCCCCATAGGGTTTTCTGGGCTGCTAATCAAAAGGTTAGAGGTTCGAGTCCACCCAGAGACCCCTTGGAAGAAAGACCTGATGCCCTACTTCTGAAAGAGCAGCCATTAAAAATCCTGTGGAGCACAGTTCTACTGAGACACACATGGGTCACCGTGCATTGGAGTGGGCTCTGTGGCAGCCATGGATTTCACTGGTAGAGAGGTGTTACAGGGAAATAAGCCCAAACCAAGACTTGTTCCTTGAAGTCACTAGAAGGATTGAGAAAGGAATAACTCGTTCACTGGGTGATTTATTGTTGTTCAGTGCTATGTCCCTGTTCCACCAGAAGTATCTCTTGTACCACCTAAAATTATCTCAAACGCCGTCATGTGGAAACAAACCGATGGGGGACACACACTGTGGAAGAACCAAAGGACCACACATCCTGTCACAGAATCTATTGTCTTGATTTCTTTGGAGTATACATTTGACACTATTTAAGGAAATGCAGGCATAAGCAGGGAAAGACAAATATTTGGGGAAACAAAACAAAACAAAACAAAAAAAACCCTGAATTGTTATTATAAAATACAAAGAAAGCAATATAAGATAATAATAAAGCCCCAAGCCTCTAAATCTTCCATTTGGGATAGTAATAAGCTCAAATCATCAATGTCCCTTAGGACTCTGAGCTGTAAGAGAACTCTCTTACAGAACATATTTCTGTAATATGAACCAATGAGCTAGTTTTTTCTTTCTCAGTCTTTCCAGTTACTTCAAGGAACAAGTCTTGGTTTGGGCTTATTTCCCTTTAACACCTCTCTACCAGTGAAATCCACAGCTGCCACAGAGCCCAGTGCAGCGCAGGGTGACCCATGTGTGTCAGAGTAGAACTGTGCTCCACAGGATTTCTAATGGCTGCTTTTTCAGAAGTAGAGCATCAGGTCTTTCTTCCCAGGGGTCTCTGGGTGGACTCGAACCTCCAGCCTTTTGATCAGCAGGCTTATCCCTGCCTTGGTCATGCAGCAATTTATAAGCCAAGGAAATGTGAAATAGAGTCAAGTCTGAGTGACTCTTCTCTCAGCTGAGCCCTGGCACAATGATTAAGTGCTTGCCTGCTAACCAAAAGGTTGGTCATTCAAATCCACCCACTGGCTCCTTGGTAGAAAGACCTGGTGATCTGGTTCTGTAAAGATTAAAAAATTAAATCAATTCCAACTTACAGTGACCCCGTGGACAGAGTAGAACTGCCCCATAAGGTTTCCAAGGCTGTAATCTTTAACAAAGTCTTGTGGAGCAGCTGGTGGGTTTGGACCACTCACCTTTCTGTTAGCAGCCAAGTGCTTAACTACTGTGCCACTAGGACTCCTTCTATAAGGATTACAGTCCAGAAAACCCCATGGTGCAGTTCTAGTATGTCACATGGGCTGGCCATAAATTGAAATTGACTCAGTGGCACCTAACAACAACTTCTTGACCCAGTCCTAAAGGTACCCCACTTAATCTATCATTTCTGCCTGTTACTTTCCATAAATTATGAAAAATGTAATAAAACTGTTTTTCCCTGAATTCCATTCTCTGGCAATATGTTTTGTCTGTCGCTTTACTTCCCTTCTTTGCCTTTTTGGTGAAAATTGATGCTTACAGGATTGTACTAAAGCACTAAAGGAATCAAAACACAGATTTAAATCTAGTCCCTGTAGGTTTGATGAAAATTAAATTTTGTTGTATTCTGATTCTTTAAGACTCAGCAATCCATGTATGCTTTATAGGATTGTTAGAGATTTGCTGAATAAGAACATTCTAGTCCCCAGCCATTCTAAGTAACAGTTATGATTCTAAGAAACACCAAGAAAACAAAGAGTATCATGGAAATCAACAATGAGTTCTGTGGGTCCGTTTGTCTTTAGGTGGACATTCTGGAGCATTCTCACAATGTCACAGTTGGTTATTATGCTACCAAGGGGAGGCTGGTGTACCTGCCTGCAGTAGTTGTCGAAATGCTGGGTGTTTATGGCGTCAGCAATGTCACTGCAGATCTGAAGCAGCACATCCCAAACTTACAGTCTGTGGCAGTACTTGCCTCCCCGTGGAATCCTGAGCCTGCAGGCTACTTCCAGCTGAAAACAGGCAAGTAACTCAGAAGAAAGGAGCCGCTGGTGTGTGGTGCAAGCACACACAGCTGCTAACCCAAAGGTTAGGGGTTTGAGTTCCAAGGGGTACCTTCGAACAAAGGCCTGGTGGTCGACGTCTGAAAAGACCAGGCTTTGATAAGCTGTGGAGCACTGCTCTACTCTGACACACATGGTGTTGCCGTGTGTTGGAATTGCCTTGAGGCAACTGGTTAACTCAGAAGGAAAGACTCTCTATCCATTCTTGGATCAGGGTGGTACCCAGAGGACACCTGTTTATAAATTCCCTTGCCAGGCGGTCTATCATCTTTCAAAGTTCTGTGTTTCTTCCCCAGAGGTCCCTGCTAATCAAAGGCCTGAGTTCCCTCCACATCAGTCTAAACTTTTCCAAGCCTGTATTCATCACAAATGTTCCATCACAGAAGCCTTTTTTCCTAATTTATATAATTAGTATTTGTGAATACCAAGTACCATATGCTGCTGAATCAGAATCTTGATTTGGTTTTGGTTTTGGAATTTTTTTTTTTTTTTTTTTTAAAGTTCCTTTTTGATTCAGATCTGCTAAGCTTGTAAATCACAGAGTAGAAAAACCATTGAAATGGAAGGAGTCAGCTTAGTAATGGAAGTCGACTGAATTTTTTCCCCCTTTCAAGAAGCAGAAGGCTTGATCTCTGAGGCTGTTTTTTTCCTCAGTCTTCGAGCAGATGTCTGCATTTCCCAATCATTTGCATTGGAAGGAGTCTCAGCTTTGATCATGCTTTTAATTCTTGTGTGTTATCAGTCATTTTAAGAACCACTTTCAAAACCACAACCAAATCTTGTCTGGCCTTATTGTTTATTTGCCTAATTCTCTAAACTAAAATCATGCGGTTTTATATCATAACCACTGTTATTAAATCCACGGAACGAAGCCATGGAGCTTTGCTGTCACTTCCTTTGATTTATTCTTCTCATTTTAGTGCTGCAGTTTGTGAGTCAGTCAGACAACATACAGTCCTGCAGGTTTGCCCAGACAATGGAACAGAGGCTGCAGAAGGCATTCCAGGATGCCGAGAGGAAGGTCCTGAAAACCAAAAGCAACTTGGCGACTCAGGTGAGGAGAAGAGCGCTCAGGCTGATGTGATTGACAGGGGCCGATCAGGAGGCTCATACTGACTAGAAGTGATTTGGGTCCCCCATTTCCAAGCTGCCTTCCATAAATGTAACTTCACTGGGGTATGTGATGTAGACAGGAGGAGGTGCCACTTTGATGCCACTGAGTTGAGGTGATCAAGTCAGTGATGAAGATGTCTGGGGCATGGCCATCACAGCTGGGGATGCTGTGTCACTCTGTACCATCTGAGGTTTGGGATTTTATATTATTTTTCCCATGTGATGCCTCTTCTTCCCTTTCTAATACACTTATTATTTTTAAAAATGGAACTAGAATATAGTATATAACATATGTCAAATGTCTAATAGAAAGTGAATTAGTTCTAAACTGCTTACTCACCAAGATTTGCCTATTCTGTTATTTGTGTTGGTTATATTCCAAACACCCATGTGAACCTTCACTTTAAACACACACACACACACACACACTCCCTCTCTCTCTGACACACACACACTTTCTCTCTTTATGTTTAGGAAACAATGCTAAATGTTTTATAGATGTTTTGTTACATATTACTCAAGACATCCTTCAGAAGACGGAGCTGAGAAAGAAGTTTAGAAACTTCCAGAAGGTCACACACTTTGATAAAGAATGGAAAAAGTACTTGGAACATTGGAACTTGGCATAGAACTTAAAATAATGGAACAAGACAGGACCCTGTTCTCTGATCTTCTATGCTGTACCAGTGTCAGAGAAATGTAGAAATGGGATCCTTGATGAAACTTTTGACAAACACATGAGCTCTCTTCCAGGGAAATTCTACTCCTGATGCACTATATTTCATCTTCCTGGATTAATAATGTATATGCCACCAAAAGCTTTTCTTAGGCCCATTATTTTTTTGCAATTATATTACCATCCCACCAAAGGTAGATGCTTATAATGAAATTCATCCAGCCCCCAGTTTCTCTAGTTACCTGTACTATCCAATGTCTCTGTTTTGGCTACTGATCTCAAGCCTTTGCAATTAAACCTAGAAGTTCTGTAATTGACATTTAGCATTAACGAACTCTCTGAAAAGCTATAGAAAGCTTACAATTTAATTTGAATGTGCAGCTTTCCTTTTCTAGATTCATCCAGAGTGTATATGGAAGTATCTTATTACGGGTTGGTTCATATTAGACAAAGATCTAAAAATGTGTCAGAGATTTAAGATTTATGTAAGGAGTATGACTCAGCTCTCTGTGGGAAATCTTTTTCTTTCTGATTGGATTTGTGATCCTCACAAGTCCATGAGCCTAGTTAGAGCTTGGCAGCAGAGAATACTCTCTAACCGTATTCAGGAAGCACAGCCTTATTGAGCACCTGCTATTTATCCAGCACCCCGAGATAAATAAGCTGTCCTTGGCCTTGGGAAACCTGTCTTGTGTGTGGTGGTCCTGGGCCATTGGATGAAACTTTGGAAAGCAAGTAACAAGCCTTCCCTGGAAAAGACCACAGCAGGTGATTCAAAAATTTCATCTGGATAAATTTATTATTTTATTATACCCATTGAAACACCTATTGGAACAAATGGTATAATTGTGTGAATTGTTTTGCTAATCTTGTTTCCCTTTTTGCTTTGGCTGATAGGAAGTCCAGAGCCAAACTTGTGGCCTGGATTTACTATCCTTCTAGGTCCCTGTATCACGCATAGATAACTACATGGTAATGATCCCCCTGAGTTGCTTTTCATTGTTTTTTTTCAGGATCTGGTTTTGTAGTTAATAACTTTCCATTTTATGGTGTTGCTATTGTTGTTGTGTGCCCTCAGTCAGACTCGACTCATAGCAACCTCTCCTTGGGTCTCCGAGGCAGTGTCACTTTGGAAGTAGATTGCCCAACCTTCCTTCCGAGGAGTGGCTGGTGGGTTTGAACCACCAGCTTTCTGGTTAGCAGTCATTATGCTAAGGTTAGCCTTAGCCACTATGCTACCAGAGCTCCTATGGTACTAAATATAATTTGTGAGGGACTGTGTCCTTTGCAAAATAAGACCATGTAAATATTCAATTAATTTTGAGAGTCCATGAAAAAGTTACCTTTTTTTACTTTAATAGCATTGGTTTTAGGGGCTAGTTGACTATAGTCAACTCAATTAGGACTTTCGTGGTGCCATGTGACAGAATCCAAAGGGAGGAAGTTACTGACTCATGTAACGGAAATATTTACGGTTCATTTTCTTCAGGCACAATTGGATGCAGGTGCTTAAATGATTTCTTTATGAAGTTATCTTTTCATTTTTTGTCTTGCTTTGCTCTGGGGTGGCTTCTTCCTCAGGCCTCATGGGATGGCCCCTGGCACCTCCAGGCCTGCCTCATCCTTATTGCTCACAGTCCCATGGAAGCAACATGTCTCTTGTGTCCTTTGAGTGAAACTCTGGCGATGAGCTCTGTTTGGATTAACGTGGACCAGGTGCTCCTTTTGGAACCAGTAACTCTAGCTGAGGAGATGTAATGTCCCATTGAAACATGCCTGGCTCCAGTACCCACTCCTGGATCTTTGGGATGGGCTGCCCCATCCAAACTTTATGGACAGTAGAGAGCAGAGGTGCTTCCCCAAGAAAAATTGTGATGCTGACATAGAAGAAGGGGGAATGGATGCTGGGTTGGCAGAACAGCAGCTTTCTACTCCATTAGCCTTATGGGTCTAACTGCCGGCTGAAACAAGGTAGGAGTGAGTGGAAGGTTAAGAGAGAGAGCTCAAAGGCTTCAGGAGTCAAAGAGTAGGGGGATGGTGGGAAGTCTCCCCTGCAGGGCTGCTCCCATTGAGGGTCAGGGTCATGACTTTCAGGGAATAGGGAATGTGACCTTGGTCTGTGGGCCTCGTCTTATTTATAGAGCACCTAATTTAGCCATAAAAACTAAGTATAATATACCTGGGTGAGTTTACAGGCGGTACCTAGGTTATGAGCACCCAACTAAACTCCAACTCCTACCTGCCCTTTCATGTTATGTAAATTTGCCTCTACTTTGAAACCATTGAACCAACCCCTACTCACAACAATTTTTTCATCACAATCACTTCACTTGCCCACGTGCAGCTTTTAAATCATTGAGGGTGGGGGGAGAGGCTTCAAGCCTTGTCTTGCAGTATAACCCACTGCTGTCAAGTTGATTCTGACTCATAGTGACCCTACAGGACAGAGCAGAACTGCCCCATAGGGTTTCCAAGGCTGTAAATCTTTACAGAAATAGACTGCCACATCTTTCTCTTGAGCAGCAGTTGGTGGGTTCAAACCACTGAACTTTGGGTTAGTAGCCAAGCACTTTAAATACTGCACTACCAGGGCTTGCTTTCTTACACTAAAACTAACCAAACCAAGCCCACTGCCATCAAGTGGATTCTGACTCATAGTGACTCTGTAGAACAGAGTAGAATTGCCCCAGAAGATTTCCAAGGCTGTGAATCACTATGGAAGCAGACTGCCACATCTTTCTCCCAAGCAGCAGTTGGGTGGGTTCAAGATGCCAACCTCTCAGATAGCAGCTGAGTGCATAACCACTGAGCTACCAGGCTTCCTTCCTTGTGCTAAAGTAGGGCTAAATAAGAACTCTATGCACCTATTCAGACTTACCTACAAATTCTTAAAGACACAGGGACAGATCTCATTCATGTCCCAGGACTGACTGTAATATGCACAAAAGTACCCATATTGCATGAGTTATAGATTTCATTGGTCAGAGTTTCCCTTGGGATTCAGTGGGATTCTGTTTTGTTGAAAGTTGGAAAATAGAATATTCATAATAGGTATAAAATTTGAAAATTGTTTTCATTATTTTATGTAGAGGTACAGTGAAGTCCTTTAAACTGTTCAGAAAGAAATGCCTTTTTTCTTTGGTACTTTGAGAAAGAGACTTGAATACCTATGGCTTATCCACTTCTGAATAATACTTCCAGAGAGGGGAGTGACAGTTGACCAGAAATGTCGACTCTGTTTCATCATTAGACATGGGAATGTAAGCTCTGGGTTAGAGAATTCAAAAAGAACTTCCACTTAGGAGATAATGCAGATGACACAGCCTTGCTTTCTGAAAGTGAAGAGGACTTGAAGTACTTACTGATGAAGATCAAACACTGCAGCCTTCAGTATGGATTACATCTCAACATAAAGAAAATGAAAATCCTCACAGCTGGACAAGTAAGCAACATCATGATAAATGGAGAAAAGATTGAAATTGTCAAGAATTTCATTTTACTTGGATCCACAATCAAGGTGCACAGAAGCAGCAGTCAAGAAATTAAACGATATATTGCATTGGGCAAATCTGCTGCAAAAGACCTCTTTAAAGCGTTGAGGAGCAAAGATGTCACTTTGAAGACTAAGGTGAGCCTGACCCAAGCCAAATCATTTTCAGTCGCCTCGTATGCATGTGAAAGCTGGACAGTGAATAAGGAAGACCACAGAAGAATTGATGCATTTGAATTGTGTTTGTGAAGCATATTAAAAATACCCTGGACTGCCAGAAGAACAAACAAATCTGTCTTGGAAGAAGTGCAGCCAGAATGTTCCTTAGAAGCAAGAATGGCTAAACTTCGTCTCTTGTACTGTGGTCATGTTATCAGAAGGGACCAGTCCTTGGAGAAGGATATCATGCGTAGTAAAATATGTTGTTGTTGTTGTTATTTGCCGTCGAGTCAGCCCCGACTCATAGCAACCCCTCCTTGGGTTTCCGAGGCAGTATCACTACAGAAGTAGGATTGCCCAACCTTCCTTCTGAGGAGTGGCTGGTGGGTTTAAAATATAGAGTCAGTGAAAAGGGGGAAGACCCTCCACAAGGTGGATTGACACAGTGGCTGCAATGATGGGCTCAAGCATAGCAAGGATTGTGAGGATGGGGCAGGGCGGGGCAGTGTTTCATTCTGTTGTCCACAGGGCCACTGTGTGTCAGAACCATTTCTGGTCAGTTAGCAGGTAACAACAGTAACAACTTATGGGGATAAGTGGTAAATACAGGGCAAAGCTATTTTTGACAGTCTTCTTCAAAGCAAGGTTTAAAAGCAAAGTTACTAGAATATTTGTGTGTGAGCCCACAAAGGTCTGGGAAAGACTATATATACAAGATCCCAGCCAGAAGTAGATGGCACACTCAAATTAAGGTATTAGATGGCAAACTCAAATTAAGGTAATTTAAGGAAAGTTCAATAAAGGGACCGTTTGCAGAAGTGTGGGCAGCTTCTAGGGAAATTACAAGAGACTGTGCGAATCCAAGGTGCTAATAGTTGGGGCCTGATGGGATGAGGGGAGGAAGCAGTTACCAGAAGCTTGAGACCTGTGGCCCTGCAGAGAGGGGACCCAGACATTTGCACTCCCATCTCACTCTTCTCCTTTGCTCCCATGTCCTCTGGAGGTCTTTAATTGCAGCTGGAGGGCAAAGGCACCCATGGAGCAGAGAAGGTTGTGAGTGGATGTGCAGGGGCAAGGGGAAGACACCACAGAACGCAAGCACAGAATGTCTCGCTAAGTTGAATGACTTTCTACTGCATGTGCTTTTCAAATCTCATCCCTGGGCTCATTTAGGCCATAAAGTGACCCAGAAGAACTCCTTTCCCACTAACTAAATATCTGATTTAGACAAAGTGAGAGAAGAAAACCACACCATCTCATCGTAATATTTACACATTCTATGTTGACGGCATACAGTGTGTGGAACAACAACAGCAGTGTATGGAATTAACAGGAGTACCTGGGTGGCACGAATAGTTAAATGCTTGACTACTGGCTGAAAGGCGGGTGTTTTGAACCCACTCAGAGGTACCTTGGAAGACAGGCCTGGCAATCTGCTTCTGAATGGCCACAGCCTTGAAAACTCTATGGAACAGTTCTAACTGTGCACACATAGGGTCACCATGAGTTGGAATTGACTTTTCAGCAACTAACAGCAACAACATATGCAATTAGTAGACCATAAGGAAAAGTAGTAGCACTGGAAAGATGCTATTTTCTATTTCTGAATTCCCTTGAAAATCAGGTTCAGTCACCCTGTTCATTACTATTGGTGATGAGAAATATGCATTCTTAGTCCATTCAAACGTAAAATTTCCTCAAAGTTTGAGTTGGGCTTTTTCTGTCTAAGAAGTTTCACCTTTCTTAAATTTAATGTTCTTATTATGGTTATCAAGGAGCTCTGGTGGCGTAGTGCCTAAGCCATTTGACCACTAACCAGAAGGCTGACAGTTCAAATCCACCAGCCACTCCTCGGAAGGAAGACGGGGCAATCTACTTCCGTAGTGTTACTGCCTCGGAAACCCAAGAAGGGGTCGTTATGAGTCAGATCTGACTCGATGGCAGTGCACAACAACAACAATTATGGTTATCAAGGAGCCCTGATGGTGCAGTGGTTTAAAGCACTAGGCTGCTAACCAAAAGGTTGGCAGTTTGAACCCACCAGCTGCTCCATGGGAGGAAGATGTGTCAGTCTGCTTCTGTAATAATTTACAGACTTGGAAACACCATGGGACGATTCTACTCTTCCCTATATGATTGCTATGAGTTGGAATCAACTCGATGGCAGTGGGTTTGGTTTTGGTTTGAATGTTGGTTATTGTGCTTGACTGCTAACCGAAGTCTCTCTCAGCTTCTTGAACCGAAGGGTTCAAGAAGAAAGGCCTGATGAACTACTGGCAAAAAATCAGCTGTGGAAACCCTATGGAGCACAGTTCTACTCTCACACATGCGAGGTCACCATGAGTCAGAATCATTTTGATGGTAGCTCTTGGTGTACACCCTATCTGATATGTTAGGATCCTAAAAGTCACCTGAGACAATTAGCCCCTGAAAAAGATATATGACAGGGCTTAGGAACTTGGAAGTCAGACTCCCTGGGTTTGAATTCTGACCCTTATTAGCTGTGTGACCCTGTAGCAGTCTGGGCCTCAGTTTCCTCATCTGTAAAAGGGAGCCATAACTTGCATACACCTCCTCAGGTTGTGGTGTTGGTTAAATGTGATAACGTGCCCTTCTTCACACAAAGCCTGGCACACAGTGGGCAATTGGTCAATGATAACCGTTGTTATTCTTGTCTCTTCCTTGATCTTTCCCCACCTCCCTTTCACTCCTACCCTCAACTTCTTCTTCAACTTCTCCACCCACAGCCTCCATGAAACAGACCCTCATGAAACAGACCCTCATCTTATGCGGCATGTCTCCCTCCCCTTTCCTCCTGTGTCAATTCAGATTGTGAGCACGTCCAACGCCTCCCAGACAGTCACCTTGGTGTACGTGGTGGGCAATCAGAGCACATTCCTCAACGGCACTGTGGCCAGCAGCCTCCTCAGCCAGCTCTCAGCTGAGCTGGTGGGATTCTACCTCACCTACCCGCCACTCACCATTGCCGAACGTGAGTAATTCCGTGTCCCACAGGGTCTCTTCATTGTTTTTCTGGTTTCTGTCTCCATTTAAGAAGTCCCAGGGTAGGGCAAATGGTTAAGTGCTTGAATATTAACCAGAGGGCTGGGGATTCGATACCACCCAGAGGCACCTTGGAAGAAAGGCCTGACAACCAGCTTCCGTAAGGATGATAGCCAAGAAAATCTGATGGAGCTCAGTTCTACTCTGTAACACATGGGGTCACTGTGCGTCAGAATCGACAACAGCAACAGGTTTTGTCTCCACTTGGCACACATCTATTGAAAGCCTACTGTGTGCCATGCCACATACCACCTCTATTGTCATAAAACAACAACTGGAATGTATAGTGATTTGGGGTTGAATTGATGAAAAGTTTCTTGCACATTAAAAAATAAGATAGTATTTCCTAAGCTCTCACTATGTGCCTTTACCCTTCACAGATTTATTATCTTGTTTAATACTCACAACTACTCAGGTAGGTGCAAGATAGTCCCACTTTACAGAAAAGAAAACTAAAGCACCAAGAGGGTTAACAAGATGCCCACTCTCACAGAGTTGGTGGGTTTAAACCCAGGCAGTTGCCTTCAGAGCTTACAGTACTGCCTGGTAGGGCCCCTGTCCTCATGACAGTCTGGAGCTCTAGTAGCATAGTGCCTAAGGCACTTGACTGCTAACCAGAAGGCTGGTGGTTCAAACCTACCAGCCACTCCTCAGAAGGAGGATGGGACAATCTACTTCCATAGTGATACAGCCTTGGAAACCCAAGGAGGGGTCGCTATGAGTTGGGTCAGACTCGACGGCATGTAACAACAACAACTGCCATCAGCCTCTGCCCTGGCTATAGATATAATGCAACTCATTTGCAATTAGTGTTGTGACTTCCCTTGATGAAGTCCCCATAGTCTTGTGGCCTTGTCTTCCTTTAATGCTTCGGTTACATAAATCTCATTACCATGAGAGATGCAGCTTATATTTTGTACCCAAACACTCAGTAGCCAAAGAAGAAAAGGTTTGTGCACCTCAATTTCATCATTGGTACATTGGTCAAGGTCACTGAGCAAGTTTTTTAAAAACACATATTAGCAAAAGTCATCTCATATGGTTGTTTTTGATACTATAAATAAATGAGATAATATGTGTCAGAATACATCTTAGCATATAATGGCTGCTCAGAATTTTTTTTTAAGTGTTTTTTAATGGGAAGCTTTGTAAATTTCCATGTAGTAAGGAAAAGACTCTGGGTTTTATGAAAATGATGATGCCATTATGTCACATGGCAGTAAGCAAAGATTTATTTTGCTAATGATCTTGATATTTTGATATTATTAACAACAACTAAGATTTATTGAACTCTTCTTTGCTTTAGTAACAAAATACATGTACAAATACAAACTATAAAATACAAATTATATAATTTTGGTGATTCTTCATACAAACTAGAAGCTCTATAAAATTGATATTTATTGAGCTCTTCTTATGTGCCAGGCACTGTATTTAGCCCTTTACAGGTATTAACTCTAATTATCATTAAACTTGCAAGAACAAACAAACGAACAAAATAGGGCCATTGTTCCAAATATTTGGCTACTGAACTTGGTTCTTGGCATTGGAAAAATCCATGCAAGAGATAATCATTACTAAAAATGTCAGTGATGACTGGATAATTTTATAGACAAAACAGGTTCAAGCTGTGGGTTTTGATAATGAAGGCTTTCAATTTAAGAGGGTTTTGAGAGAAAAATATGAAATAACAGAATCTACAAATCCTAGAAAACTCTTCATCTGAAAGTTAGATCTTTACTATGTATTTTATTTTTCTATACAGCAAGATATTTGGCCTGTACATTCTAAAGTTTCCAAGATGATAAAACAGTATCTCTCTCCTTGATATTTGGATTCTTGTGTCTATTTTCCTTGAGAATATTCAGATAACTAACCTATAAAAGCCTTTCGGTGTGTTTATTTGTTTTAGCTCTTGAATACCCCAGCCTTGATATATCAGAAACAACCAGAGACTATTGGGTGATTACAGGTAATCTCTTGTTTTATTTTTCTCCCCCCTCTTCATGCTCTCAGTTGACTGGGTTTTGTTTTAATTTTTATTGTGATTTGGATGAATTATTTGGTTTTTTAAAACTGCATAGCCCTACTCACAATAGCTGAAAGGTGGAAACAACCCAAGTATACATCAGCAGATGAATGGATGAACAAAATGTGATATATTCATAATGGAACATTATTTAGCCATAAAGAGAAATGAAGTTTTGATACATACTATTACATGGATGAAGGAGCTCTGGTGGTGCAGTGGTTAAACCATTTGGCTGCTAATGACAGTTTGAAACCACCAGCCACTCTATGAGAGAAAGTTGAAGCACTCTGCTTCCATTAAGATTTACAGCCTTGGAAACCTGTTCTACTCTGTCCTACAGGGTCACTATGAGTTGGAATTGACTCAATGGCAATGGGTTGTGACATGGATGAATCTTGAAAACATGATTCTGAGTGAAATAAGTGAGACACAAAAGGACAAATATTGTATAATCCCACTTATATGAAATATCTAGCATTGTTGTTGTTGTTGTTATGTGCCATCGAGTCGGACCCAACTCATAGCGACCCCTCGTTGGGTTTCCGAGGCAGTATCACTACGGAAGTAGATTGCCCCATCTTCCTTCCGAGGAGTGGCTGGTGAGTTTGAACCACCAGCCTTCTGGTTAGCAGTCAAGTGCCTTAGGCACTATGCTACCAGAGCTGCCATGTCTAGCATAAGCAAATGCATAAAGATAAAAGGTTCTTAGTGGTTACCAGCAACTAGTGGGAGGGAGAAGTAGAGTGTATTGCTTAAGGGATACTGAATTTCTGTTTGGGTTGGTAAAAAGCTTTTGGAAATGAATACTAGTGATGATTACACAACATGACAAAAGTAATTAATGTCACTGAGTTGTATACTTAAAATGGTTAAAATAGCAAATATCTTGTTATATATATTTTTCCACAATAAGATTAAAAACAAAACAAAATTGTATGCCATTCGATGGTAGGATTGGCATCTTTTCTTTGGTCATGTCTTTTAAGTTAGGGAGTTATATCCACAGGACCAGAAATGAGAGGGGTAAGCTTAGATAACAAAAACATTGTACTGAACATGAATATTTCATGCACAATTCAAAACAAGCAACTTTAAAGTCCCATCAAGTGGTCTTCTCTTAGTTACAGCACTAACCTGTGATTAGGACTTGTCCATGTGAATGGTTACTTATGTATTAGTTTCTTGGGGCTGTAACAACAAGCTAGCTGGCTTAGAAGAACAGAAATTTATTATCTCAGAATTCTGGAGGCTGGGAGTCCAAATGCAAAGTGTCAACAGGACACTCTGAATGTCACCCCAGGGAAAGACTCTTTGTTGTCTCTCTCAGCTTCTGGTAGCCCCAGGCATTTCTTGGTGTTCCTTGGCTTGTAGATGCACCTTCCCATGGTCATCTTCTTTCTGTCTGTCTCTCTTTTCTCTTCTTTTTAACAATTGGGTCAGGGCACCCCCAACACACACACTCCAGGTATGACCTTATGTTAACTAATAACATGGTAACTACTGCTAACCACATTCACAGAATGGAAAGTCAGTCTAAAAATGCCAAGTATCTTTTATGGGGGCACCATTTAATCCCTAAGAGTCTATTTAAAGATGTTGGCCTTTCTGCACTTCCCTACCAAACCCACATTAAAACAAGAAGAGTACTGGGCACACACTTTTCTCTCTCCCCTGGCATGAGTCCCACACCCACATGAACACTGGTAGATCCCGGGCGTGTCCTGACAGTGTGGGTGGATGGAAGCGGAAGGGTGTTTCAGTGGCGTTTTCTATTTTTCCTTGACATTTCCCAGCTGAGCTTTTTGAAACAGCGAGAAAGTTTTGGGTTTTTTGTTTTGTTTTTTCCTTCTTTTTTTTCCCCAAAAGCCAGATAGTAGCTCTGAAAATTGGAGAATCAAGGATTGGCAACAAGAGGGAGAGGACAGATGTTTGCAGGAGAAAAAAAATGATCAGCCCAAAAGGGGAAGAACAGCAGGAAGAGAGAAAGATCATGCAAGTCATGAAAGATTCAAACTCCCTCATCCCTTCCCTGTCTTCCCCCTCATTTGCAGCCACAAACAAGCAATAGGTGGGTGGGGTGCTGCCTGAAATGCTAATGAAGGCACACACGCTCCTGCCTGATGAAGCCTGCTAGACCTCTTCTATACTGCAGAAAATTGCATTTCTTTCCTCCCTGCAGAGCCATGGATATGTGGAGATTATTTTATCTGCTAAGAAGGCAAACCCAAAGAATATGTTAAATATATGTAAACAGGATGTATGCCCAAGAGAGAGACAATGTTAACCCAGCAACACATTCTTGAAGCCAGCAGATTATGTAACATTTACAAAATCATGTTTCCCTCACAAGGCATGCTGGTTTTTAACTTGCAGGTATTTCTCCCTCTCTATTAACTGTAAGGAAAGGTTTACATTAAATAACACATCCACTCTTAAACACAGGATGTGTATCCTGAACATTTTTGTTTCATTTCTTCCTCACGTACCTGTGCCTTTCCTTGCCTCTCTCCTAGTGTTGTATCTTAATAAAAAGCTCCACATGTGGTCTTGTTTTCAGGATTCTCCTGGGACTTAACCTATGTCCACTCATTTATGTAAACTTAATTTGTTGGTATTGTTACTACTCTTGGTAAGCAGAATAAACAGGGATCTTCATTACTGTGTTTGGATTATTTGGATCGGTTGGTTAGTACTTGGTGCTCAGGAGGGCAGAGAGGGACTGGTCTCAGGATGACCCAGCTGCTTCCCCTGTGGCCCATGACCTTTTTCTGAACCTGTGGGTAGCACCTCCATCCTGCCCCATCATTCATAGAAGAGATGAGGGAGTTTGGGGGCTGAGAGAGGAAGATAGCTTTGGGTTGTGTTGTTGGAACTGTTCAAACCCATGGCCCTTCAATTACCGCTCCATCCTTAACTCATCATGGACATTCTATCTTCTCATTGCTAACAGTCAAGGTGGTATTAAATTGGACATCATATGGATTGAATGGTGTGCCCAAAAAAGATGTATTGAAGTCATATGAAGTAGGAGTGAAAGGGAGGTGGGAAAAGAGCAAGGAAGAGACAAGAATAAACACTGCTAACCAGAAGGCTGGAGGTCCAAACTCATCAGCCACTCCTCGGAAGGAAGGTTGGGCAATCTACTTCCATAGTGATACCACCTCGGAAACCCAAGGAGGGGTTGCTATGAGTTGGGTCCAACTTGACAGCAAATAACAACAACATCATCATTTACTGGTTGCTCACTATGTGCCAGGCTTTGTGCAAAGAAGGGCACATTATCACATTTAATCTTCACCCCAACCTGAGGATGTGTATACAAGTAATGACTCCCTTTTACAGATGAGGAAACTGAGGCCCAAGCTCACACATATAATAAGTGGCAGGGTCAGAATTCAAACTCAGAGAGTTTGACTTTCGAGCTCTAAGGCCCTGTCGTGTATCTTTTCCAGGGCCTAAACTATCTCAAGGAACTCTGGTAGCATAGTGCCTAAGGCACTTGACTGCTAACCAGAAGGCTGGCGGTTCAAACCCACCAGCCACTCCTTGGAAGGAAGATGGGGCAATCTACTTCCGTAGTGATACTGCCTCGGAAACCCAAGGAGGGGTTGCTGTAAGTCGAATCTGACTCCATGGCAGTGAGGGTTTTGTTTGTTTTTTTTTTTTTAACTATCTCATGTTACTTTTAGGATTCTAAACATATAAAATAGTGTATAAACCAACAGTTGCCATAAGTCCATTTTGATGCATGGTGACCTCATGTGCGTGAGAGTAGAACTGTGCTCCATAGGGTTTTAAAATTGCTGATTCCATAGCTGAGCACTAAGACTCTTTCAGCTCTAAATGCGTAAGATTCAATTATGAATAAAACAATTGAGGTAGAGTACAGAAAGTTGATCAGGCCTGATCATTTGAATTTTAAAGCCCAGTATGATTGTAAGTAAAGAATAAGAGAATAAGAGAACAGTGATGTAGCAGTCATCGAATCTCTGGACACAGCTCCTGGAAACGCAACTATGGACTTGCCCAACTCCTCTAACCTTACTGGTGGCCATTCCTCGAACCTTTATTGGTGGGGGCCAAGGGTGGTGGACTGTGGGACTGCAGAGTCTGCTGACTTCCTGAGTGCCCATGCCAGGGTTCGAGCTCCCCTGTAGCTGCTGTGCTGCTGTTGAGGGGATGCTCACTCCCTTGCCCACTCCCTTCCATGTAGGCAGAGAGGTCCAGGGAACCTGAGGCCTGCAGCACTTACCAGGGAGGAGAAGAGGAGTCACATCCTGGAATGCATTCTGTTCTTCCCATGTATGTGGTTTCTTCTCCATAAAGATGTGACTAGCAAAGACGTGGGCACATTTTAACAACAGCTGTTACCATGTATTGCTGTCCTGTCAGGTTCTAGGCACTATGCTATAAGCAGTTTTTAATGAATTATCAGTTCTTCACAATGACAGAATCAGGAGTAGATTATGATTAGATGAGGAACAGAGGCCCAGAGAAATTTAGTGATTTCTTCCCAAGAACACACAATAAGGAGTCAGGATTCAAACTCTAGCCCCCTGGTACCAACCCCTAGCCCTTCCCCAGATGCCACCGAGGAAGAACACATTCTTTTGGCAAATAGAGGTGATCAGGTATGTGCGAACTGTCCTGTGCTGAGTCCATGTAACCCTGTGGGAGGCACCCATAGCCTGGAGGCTTATTATTATTATTATTTAATTTAATGGAGTGAAATTTACATAACATAAAGTTAACCATTTAATAGTGGTTAAGGTGAACATTTCAGAGGCATTTAGTACCTTCAAATGTTAGGCAATCATCACCTCTATCTAGTTCCAAAACATTTCCATCAGTAAAACCCCTGTAAGCAGTCAATCCCCATTCTCCCCTCTTCCCAGCTCCTGGCAACCATCAATCTGCATTCTATCTCTGGCTTGATCTATTCTGGAGGTCTCCTATGAATGAAATGATATATGAATTTTGTATCCGCTTCTTTCACATAGCATAATGTTTTGAGGTTCATCCAAGTTGTAGCATGTATTAGAACTTCATTTCCCTTTATGACTGAATAACATTCCGTTGTATGTATAAGCCACAAACTTTTTATCCATTCATCTTATCATGAACATGTGAGCTGTTTTCAACTTTTGACTCTTGTGAATAGTGCTACAATGATCGTGAGTGGGCATGTACTTGTTTGAGTACTTGATTTCAGTTCTTTTGGATACACACTAGGAGTAGAATTGCTGGCTCACATGGTAACTCTATGTTTAACTCTCCCAGGAGCCACCAACCTGTTCTCTACAATGGCTGTACCCTTTTACATTCCCACCAGTAATGTATAGGAGTCACAATTTTTTCACATCCTCATCAACACTTAATTATTTTCCATTTTTCTGGATAATAGACATGTTAGTGGGTATGAAGGAGCCCTAATGACACAGTAGTTAAGCACTCATCTGCTAACTGAAAGGTCGGCAGTTCAAGCCTACCAGTCGCTTGGTGGGAGAAAGATATGTCTACCTGCTTCTGTAAAGATTTCAGCCTTGAAAACCCTATCTGGCAATTCTACTCTGTCCTGTAGGGTTGCTGTGAATCAGAATTGACTGGATAGCAGTAGATTTGGTTCTGGTGTAGTGGGTGGGAAGTGATACCTCATTGTGAATAGGAGCTCTGGTAGCATACATAGTGGCTAAAACAGTTGACTGCTAACCAGAAGGCTGGCGGTTCAAACCCACCAGCCACTCCTCGGAATGAAGGTTGGGCAATCCTACTTCCGTAGTGATACTGCCTTGGAAACCCAAGGAGGGGTTGCTATGAGTCAGGGCCGACTCGATGGCACATAACAACAACAACAATGAATCCTCTGGAGGCTTTTAAAGATTCTTGTCTTTATTTGGTGACTGCCCTTGAACTCTCATGGAGAATTCCCATATGCAATCTGTGGTGATACCTCGCCACAGTCCTGTATCACCTCTCTCACTGCTGTCCAGTGGTCAGGAGAGGTGAACTCAGTAGTTTTACTCGAGCAATTTGTTTTGCAGTTTTACAAAGGGGGCATCTTTGAACCCATATGCACACAGGCTTTCCTAGCTGGTGCCAACAGGTAAATCAGCTCTTCCTGGTACTGATAGCTCTGTTAGGAAGAATCCTGAGGGGCCTCTCTGGGATTCAACACAGTGGGAACAGTGCAGGAGTGTTTTATCTTTGCAGGAATTCGGTTGACAGATGAGCTGGGAGCCACTCACAAGGGCCCTAGAAAGAGAGCTGCTTTGTCCCCTCCATGGGGATTATTTGGCCATTATGGCTTCAAAGAAGTAATTTTGGAGACCCAGCTGTGGGTTCTTTTTCTCTCCTGGTTGGTTTTAAACATCATTCTCTGTCTCTTCTTGTCATTGGTGCTTGATCTGGCCCTGCACAGAATGTGATCATCAGTGTTGGCTACTGGTGGCTCTCCATTGCACTGGATGCCATAACAACAACATGTCCTTTATATCCAAGCTATTTCCATATCCCGGCGGATGGGTGGTATTAATGATCCTTGGCTGGCTGTAGTAGAACAAATTCTATTAAATGAATAGCATTGTATTATGTTCCCAGACCATGTAAGTTTCGCTCTCTTTAGAAAGATGGGAATTGTTTTCAGCATCTATGATTATAGGGGTGATTTGTCTTTGAAGGCAGCATTTGTGTGTTTAGGATGAAGTGTGCTTTCCAAGAGACACTGAGTAAGGGCTGGACTTTTGGAGTAGACAGGAAAAGGCAATCACCCGCATAGTGATGACTGTAGCAGTCCTAGGAAAGTTCTGGTATTCATTAAAACTCTCCAAACTGTTAATGTGCTCAGCTGCTAACCAAAAGATTGGAGGTTCAAGTCTGCCCAGAGGCACCTTGGAAGAAGAGCCTGGCTATCAAATATTAAAATATTAGCCATTGAAAATCCTATGGAGCACAGTTCTACTCTGACACACATGGGGTTACCATGAGTCGGCATCCACTCTATAGCAGCTGATACTGGGACACGCACTAGCCATTGCCTGGGATTCCATTGTTAATGCCTTGCCTGTTGACTATAGAGATCCCTGGGTATAGATGAAGCACGGCAGCTGATTTTATGGGGGGTGAGTGGGATGGGAGAAAGGATAGGAAAGAATAAAGCTCCATTTATCTTCTATGCATCAGACAGTGGGCTAAGCTTCTTTATATATCCCATCTCACTTAACCTTAGAGCCCATTAGGAATATGTTCTCTGTGATGTAGACTTTCTTACTCCCTTTTTATAGAGAAGGACTTGCACTCAGAGAGCTCCAATGGGTTCACAACTACCAAGTGATAGAACTAAGAGAAAGCCCAGTCATTCCATGCAGCCACCCTGCTTCTCAAGTGGGAGAGTGCCTGAGGTGGCTCTGCGTATCTTTGTGTGTGGACACCAAAAGAACCCTATAGAGGAGGAAGAAGTGAGGACATCGAACAGGGTGGTTTGCCCAGATGTAAAGTGTTATAAGAAAGAGCTCAGATTCCTCAGCAAAGCTGTGGAGGAGGAAAAATAAAACAAGAGCAATACTGAGCCTAGACTTATGAGTGGAAATCAACAAAAACCCAATTAGCCATATCCAAAACTGTGCTATATTCCCATATGGACCTTTAACAACAGATACTCTATTAAATAAAATGTACATTTAATAAAGCACCATTAGGGATGTCACAGCTCATAAAAGAGAGCACCGAGGCTTTGGAGTTATACAGCTTGGCCTTGAACTCTGACTCTGTTAGTTACTGGCTGTGTGAACTTAGACAAGTTACTTAACTTTTTCTGCATCTGTAGTATGTGGCTGGGAGCTCTGGTAGTGTAGTGCCTAAGGCATTTTACTGCTAACCAGAAGGCTGGCAGCTCAAACCCACCAGCCACTCCTCAGAAGGAAGACTGGGCAATCTAGTTCCATAGTGATAACTGCCTCAGAAACCCAAGGAGAGGACACAATGAGTCAGATTCGACTCGATGGCAGTGAGTTTTTAGGATAGTGTGTGGTTAATAACTCCTGGGGTTGTTAACAGGGTAAACTGAGGTAAGGACGGCCAACCCCTAGCATGGGTCAGGGCACATGGCTTTAGTAGCCAGGGCAGGGCCAGTGATGGCTGTGGGTCCTGAGTCAGCAGGGAATCAGCCTTCTGAGTACCACTCTACCTCCACCTCCACAGTGCTGCAGGGAGTGGACAACTCACTGGTGGGCCTGCACAACCAGAGCTTCGCCCGGGTCATGGAGCAGCGCCTGGCCCAGCTGTTCATGATGTCCCAACAACAAGGCCGGCGGTTTAAACGGGCCACCACCCTGGGAAGTTATACTGTGCAGGTGAGTGTGTGGAGAGCTCCTGGGGTTTTCTCATAACCATGGGGGGGGCATGCTTCCTGAGATGAAATAAGCCGTGCAGTGTTCAGAGAGCACTTGTGCTGCTGCACAAGGGTTAAGCCATTTAGTCAGCGCTACTTCTAGGTTTGGGGGGTTGATGGCTGTAACCATCAAAAACATGAAGGAGGGTGAGAGCACCCCACTCCACCACCTCACTACTAGGTTATGGGGAACGGAGATCTTGGAACAAATTCTGCACACATGCACGTATCCAGTAAGCAAAAAGTTATTAGGAAGCAAGCACAAGGTATCAAATCAAATCACTCTGTTCCATAGGCTTGAAGAAATCCCAGCTTTTGGTTGTTTTAGGCCCTCTCACCAGGGACCAGGAGTCCCTGGGTGGCATCAACAGTTAAGCTCAACCACTCACCAAAAATTTGGCAGTTTGAACCCATCCAGAGGCACCTCAGAAGACAGGCCTAGCAATCTGAGTTGAAAAGGTTACAGCCGTGAAAACCCCATTGACTACAGTTCTACTCTGCACACATGGAGTCACCATGAACTGGAATCAACTCAGCAGCAACTGGTTTTCACCTCCACTACTGTGAATGGCTGGCAGTTCAAACCCACCAGCCACTCCTCAGAAGGAAGGTTGGGCAATCTGCTTCCGTAGTGATACCTCCTCGGAAACCCAAGGAGGGGTTGCTATGAGTCAGATCTAACTCGACGGCACTGAGTTTTTGTGAATGGCAGATGAACTGGTATTCTAGATGCAGGATTCTGCTATTCTTAATTTACTCCAATTTAGCAAACAGACCCTCCGAGTTTATAACTGGACTCAAGACCACATAGGGATTTAGGGTAGGGAGCTGTAGCAGATACAAGTGGTGCCCTGCCCATATCACCTTACCATTTCTGTGCATGCCTGCTGGACATCCACTAGCCAGCTCCTACATCTTAAGTAGAGGGTGGATCTTGGAATGCTGGAACCCACTTTGCTCTCACCATGGCTGGCAAGAGTGCCCAGGAAGTAACTAATGACTGATGAGGGTGGTGGTATAAATACCCCAGCTCTCCCATCTTTTGGTCAGGAGAATTCTGAAGTGTGTTTTATATCATTCTAGAATTTTCCATGGGATGAATCTTTAGTTAGCCACTATGGTAGCTGGCTCTAGTCACACTATTTGATGACTCCCTACTCTGTATCACTCCTTACCTTCTTGTCAGTTTCCTAAACCTCCCAGATCAACTGCAACCACTCAGGTCTTATCAATGGGGTCTGCTTCTGACAGTACACAACCAAGACTGTGTAGTAGCTATCTTTAAGGATAGAGGCTTTAAGTGTCTCTAGATTCTTACATACAGTTCATGCAAGTGTGGGAGTGTCTCTAGAATATTCTAGCCAATCCACGTATCTGGAATATGTTATGCTAGTGAAATCTCATTTCTAACTTTTGGTATTCTAATTGGCAAAGTTCTATTGTTGAGCAAGGTAGCTACCTCTGGAGAGTGGACTTCCTAATTGGAGTCCAGTAGACCACCCTGGGTGTAAACTCTTGATTGATAATTGATCATATCTGGGGTATAACTTAATGAAAAGAGACATGCATTGTATCACACCACCCATGAGAAAACATTTTAAAGGAGATTAACAGACATTATCACAGTCTGTCTGTAGATCATGTCCTGAGACAGTCTTTAAATACAAACAACCCATCTTTTGGAATATACTTCCCTGTGTTAATGCTATACCCTTGACTGAGACTCCAAGTCCTCCATTCACAGTTGGTGAATTTTAGCCCCTTGTCCTGTTGGATGTTGCTATAAATGTAAAAATCTTTGCTGGTCTGTGATGACCTCATAATGAGGTAAAACCCAAACCAAACTCACTACCATCGAGTCAATTCCAACTCATAGTGACCCCCATTGAGTTTCCAAGACTGTAAATCTTTATGGACGTAGACTGCTTTATCTTTCTTCCATGGAGCAGCTGGTGGTTCAAACCATCAACCTTTTAGTTAACAGCCAAATGCCTTACCCACTACACCACCATAGGTAAAGCAATGGTTAATTTTGTGTGTCAGGTTTGTGGTTTTCTCTCTGATTCCATGTGACCCTATAATTGACACTTCTCCAAATGACAGAAAGGAAGATTCTAGGACTCAGATGGCTGGAAAATGGGATTTGTCTCAACTGAGGGGAAAAAAGAATAGCCACACAATCCTGTTGTTATTTGTAAACCTAAGAAGCTTGACACATTCTGTGTGTCTAAAAGGGCTCAGGGAGACATTCCTTCCCCATTTCTTCTAAGTGCTTAGTGCAATTGGTCCCTGTAGCTACCTAGAGAGTCAGAGAGAGGCAGGTGGGAGTTTAACTCTGCAGATCCCCAATTTACAGAAGCTGCAGATCACCTAACATCACCCTTGAAAAAATCTTCGTACAAATTGTTTGCTATTAAATAGAAATAAAGTGGCGTTCTTAGATATTTAACAGCTCATTCACCTTCTTCTTGGTTGTACTAACACTCTCCTCACTTCCTTTCCCATTAGGAAGAGGAATAACATGCCCAGATTTCCTGAATTAAATTCATTCTACATAGCTTAGATCATCCTTCCACCAGAGGCCTTTCTTCTGGGCCCAGATCATTTTAAAAGCTGAGCTATCTTCATGAATATGTAGATTTAAAGATATTTCTCTAGTTGATATGTTTGAAAAAATATAAGTCCTAAGAAGAAATACATATGGCTAACATTTTAAAATACTTACCTCCATTGTAATCAAAGGAATGCAAATTTTAACAAGAAGGTATTTTCACCTACCAAAGATCAGTAAAACTGTACAGTGTTGGTGAGGATACAGTGAAATGGACATTTTCAAATACATTAAATTGGTACCACCATTCTGGAAGACAGCTGGTATATTTAGACTTCGAGAGTTTTTGAGAGGGTCTCAAACTTACTCCTAGAAGTTCATCTCAGGATGATAGAGGTGAACACAATGATGTATGAGTGAGAGCAATGTTTTTCAGATAGTATCCTATGAGGAGCACTGAGGCATAGGGGCTCTCTGGTCAAATCAGTTTGGGTAAGTCTACACCCCATATCCCTTTCTTGAAGATTCTCAAAGCATGTTTTCTTACCAAAAACTCTAAAAAGATCTCTCCTTAACTTTGCTCAGTATGCTGCTTTCTAAATTTAAATGTCAGAAGACCTTTGTTTTCAGTAATGTCTGTTCACCACCACCATTTTATTGTGAAAATTTCCAAGTATACAGAAAAATTGAAAAAATTATTCAGTGTATACTCATATACTATCTAGGATCTGTGATTAACATTATACTATGTTACTACTATATATTTGATAATATGTATGATTTCCATACTGTAAAATAGTTTTGATTTTTCTAGAATGTCATATAAATGGAATCATACAGTATATATATTTTTGTATAAAGCTTTTTGATTCAGTAGTTTTTTAAAAAATTCATTAATGTTGTTGCATTATTCAGTAGTTTATTCCATTTTATTGCTGAATCATTTTTCCTTGTATGAATATACTATAGTTTGTTTATTCATTCTTCTGTTGAATGACACCTGCACTTTTTCCAGGTTTTATCTATTACAAATAAAGTTGCTTTTTATGGCCATATGTTTTCATTGCTTTCAGTAAGTAAGAGTGGAATTGCTAGTTCATGGTGTCAGTGTACATTAGTTTTATAACAAACTGCTAGACCTATTTCCAAAGTGGTTTTACATTTTACACTATCACCAACTGGCTGTGTACTTTCAGTTGCTCCACATCCTCTTCAACACTTATTTTTAGCCATCCTGGTGGGGTATAATGGTGTCCCATTGTGGGTTTAATTTGAATTTTCTTGATGACTAATGAGTTTGAGGATTTTTTTATGTGCTTATTGACTATTCAAATATCTTCCTTTGTGAACTTTATAGTCAGACCTTTTGCCCATTTATCATTGGGTTGTAGTAATATCTTTTTTTTTATTGTTATATATAGCATGAGTATAAACATGTATAAAAAAATTGTATGTTTAAAGAACACTAATAGAATCTCTGGTACTGTAGTGCCTAAGGCACTTGACTGCTAACCAGAAGGATGGCAGTTCAAACCCACCAGCCACTCCTCAGAAGGAATGTTGGGCAATCTACTTCCATAGTAATACCGCCTCGGAAACCCAAGGGATCGCTATGAGTCTGGTCTGACTCCATGGCACATAGCAACAACAAAGAACACTAATAGAAAAACCCCACAACCCAAAGGATTAAAACATTACCCTTGCTTTACTCACACTAGAAGTCCATCTTGTATGCCTTCTGTGATTATACCTCCTTTTTCTGACCAGAGTTCAATGTGATTCTGAATTCTGTGTTAAATATTCTTCTATTTGTTGTATAGTTTTTTCCTTCTTTCTTTCTTTTTTAGTTGCCTTCCCCTTCACCCAAGTTCATATGTGTCTGTTATCCTTTAATTAGGAGCTCTGGTAGCATAGTGCCTAAGGCACTTGACTGCTAACCAGAAGGCTGGCAGTTCAAACCACCAGCCACTCCTCTGAAGGAATATGGGGCAATCTACTTCTGTAGTGATACTGCCTCGGAAACCCAAGGAGGAATCGCTATGAGTTGGGTCTAACTCGATGGCACATAACAACAACAACAATATCCTTTAATTAGTGGTTTACCCTCCCTTCCCATCCAAACCTTGGTAACCATCGAAGAATATTTCTTTTTTTGTTACACAATTTTGACACCCACATGTATATTCCTAAGTAGTCTATCATTTAGTTTTATCTGTTTTTGAATTTTATATCCTGTGATTTCTTTTCTGCTCAACAGTAGCTTTTGTATTCCCACATATTGATATGAATAGCAGTAGTTCATTTATTATCACTATACTATTATATTTCATTGATAACTATACCATAACTGCCTTACACATTCTATTCTATTAGTGACTTTGGGGCATTTCTAGTTTTTTACTATTATGAGCAATGCTGCTATTAATATTTGAAAAAAATATCTTCTGATATCCTATGAAATTTGTATTCTTTAGTACATATTTTGGCAAATGCTATACTATAATGTTTATCAGTTGTTAATGAGCATAGTGAAAAGTTGATAACAATCTAAATGTTCAATATAAAGGGTTGGTTAAGTGTGCCTAGTGTACAATGGAAGTCTTTGTAAATATAGAAATTAGTTTTACATGTTTATGTTTATAAATTATTAATCAAAACTGAAAATTAGTAATAATTTAAATGATTACTCATAAAGGAGTTGTTAAATAAGCTAATGAGGTGTGCATTGAACATCATGTAGAAATGAACATTTATGCTTTTGTTGTATTTAAGGCCATTTAAGGATATAAGTATAAATAGCAAGATATGATATGATACTATATAGAGAGTGGGATAAATAATTTTGTAAAAAAAGATTTGAGTGGGAATTAACAATGAATTGAAGCAAATGCTCCCAAATGATAACAATAATTAGCTTGTGGTAGAGGGATTGCAGATGATTTTTATTTTATTTCTTTGTGCCTTTCTGGATTTTCAATGTTCTGAAGTAAATATACGTAACTTCTAAAGTGAGAAAAGATCACAAATGTTAATTTAGAAAAAGAACATTATGTCCCCAAGTACTGCTTTTATCAGACATCTTTTGAGTTATAGACATATACATTATTTTTTTTTTTCCTTTCTGGCAGTTGTAGGAATTTTAAATTAAAAATCGTGTTTGAAACTAACCTAACATGCCCTGATTTAATGTGACAGCCTATTTTTAATTGAGGTCAGAGCCCTGTGTGGAAGCTGGAAAACATCAGTATTCCAGTGTTTTCTTCTCCAACCCAAACTGTTCTTTCCAGATGTTCATATTTTAAAATCATTTTTCTTCTCCAGTCTTCTGCTCCATCTACAGAAGGGCTTCTTAAGGTGTTGGTGATAGGGATGTGCACAAAGGTTGAATTGTAAAATCCATGTTGTGGGTCCACTGAAGGTTTCAGCAGTTGGGAGACAGCCTGCTGGTGACAGGGGTGAATTCAGGATCACATACAAGGTCAGTGCCAGATGCCCTGTAAACATGCCCTTTCTCTTTTCCTAAAGATGGTAAAGATGCAGCGTGTGCCAGGGCCAAAGGACCCAGCAGAGCTGACTTACTACACTCTCTACAATGGGAAGCCTTTGTTGGGGACTGCAGCAGCCAAGATTCTGAGCACCATTGACTCCCAGAGGATGGCCTTGACCCTGCATCATGTTGTCCTTCTGCAAGCTGACCGTAAGAAGACAGCCTTTTAATTCATTATATTTAATGCCAGTGTTAGATGTCTTCTGAAAATCAAACCCATGTTAATGGACCCAGAGCTAAATACATTTCTGTCCTGAAAGATTCTTAAATCAATCTACTGTGTTTCCTGTGTGATTTAAAGCAATAGGTTTTGAGCAAGGGATATTTTGGATATTAGAATGATGGTAGTGATGTTGCTTTTGCCCCTAAGTCCTACCCACTTTCCTCCTCAATATGATCTAGTGACTAGCTATGAACAATCACTGTAGCTGAGATTATATTTGTGTTCCAGAGGTATTAAAGATAATTTTATTCAATAAACAGTTATAGAGTCCTACATGAACTGTGCTTGGTGCTAGAAGCTATGCAGAAGTGAGCATGTAGGAGGAGGGCAAGTTAATATAGGTACCAAGGAGTGTAATGCTGCTAGAAAGTGCTGCTAGAAGGCAAAGTGATATGGGAATCAACAGAGAGTTTGTGCTGTTTGGGGCATCTGGAAAGAATTAATAGAGAAAGAATATTAAAAATATAGCTATCTCTTTGAATATCCTCCCTGGTAACTGATATTATGCTGGTTGCTTTACATAGATAATCTCATTTTCTACTCTCATTGGAACAGAGTTTATTCAGCTCCAAATTACAAATGAGGAAACCAAGGCTCAGTAAAGTTAAATAACTTGTCCAGCATCACAGAGCTAGTACTTTGGTAGCCAGGATATGACTCTGAATTGACCTAACTTTGAACCTATGTTCTTTGTTAAAAAAAAAAACCTTTTTATTGTGATTTGGGTGCAAGTTTACAGAGCAATTGTTTTCCATTCAACAATTCATACATATTTTGTTTGGTGACATTAATTGGAATCCCCACAATGTAACAGCACTCTTCCCACATTCCCACCTGTGTTCACCATTTCCCTTTGTCCTTCATTCCTATCCTTTCCTGCCTTCTGAGCTTTAGCCATGGGCAGTGCTTTTGATTTCCTATGGTTGATTGTTCTAAGGAGTGCATATCTCTCTGGTGTTACTGTTCACCTTATAGGCCTGTCTATCATTTGGCTGAAAGTTGAGTCATGGGCTTAAAGTCACTTCTAGGCTTGAAGTGTGACTAAAGGCCATAGTCTCTGGAGTTCCACCAGTCTCTATCAGACCAGTAAGCCTGGTATTTTTTATGATTTTCAACTTTGTTCTACATTTTTCTCCCACTCTGTCCAGGACCTTTTATTGTGATCCTTTGCAGAGCAGTTGGCAGGGTACAGGTCTGATCTAGTTCTTCTGGTCTCAGGATTGTGGAAGCTGAGGTTCACATGGGCCATTAGTCCTTTGGACTAATTGTTTCCTTGAGTCTTTGATTTTCTTCACTCTTCTTTGCTCCAGTTGGGGAGAGATCAGCAGCTGTGCTTTTGATGGCCACTCACAAGCTTTTAAGACCCCAGTCACTGCTCACCAAAGTAAAATGTAGAACATTGTCTTTGTGGACAAAGACCAATTGACCTTGACGTTCCTATGATCCTGAGCTGCCAGGCCCAGCGATTCATTCCCTCAAGGTGTTTGGTTATGGCTGAGAAGTTTCCATAACTTTATTCCCTCTATGCTCTACTCAGGATCTCAAGATCCAGGTAAGGAGTGGGAGGCAGGCAGGCCCCAGCCCCCAGAGCCAGGAAAGGGAAGGGGAGAGTGCCGGGGACCACAAAAGACACAGGATCCAGGTAAGGGGCTCAGGTAAGGGGCAGAAAGCAGGAAGGACCCAGCCCCCAGAGTGAGGAAAGGGAGGGGGAGAGTGCTGGGGACCACAAAATCCACAGGATCCAGGTAGGAATTAGATAAGGGGAGGGTGGAGAGGTTTCCAAAAGCTAAGGGAGACAAACTTGTCTGTCAGTTAGTTTGTCATCCTGTGGGGCTTGCAAGTTGCTGTCAGGCTGTGCCACCAGTGTTTCAAACGCCAGCAGGGTTGCACATGGTGCACAGGCTTCAAAGCAACTTACAGACTGAGACAGACTAGGAAGAAGGAAGAGACCATCCACTTGTCAAAAATTTGGCCAGGGAAAACTTTATGAATAGCAGAGAAACACTGTCTGATATATTATTAGGAACTTTATGAATAGCTTGGAAACATTGTCTGAAACAGTGCAAGAACATCAGCCCCTTGGGTCAGAAGGCACTCAAAATAGGACTGGGAAAGAGCTGCCTCATCAGAGTAGAACCAACCTTAATGATATGGATGAAATAAATCTTTCAGGACTTCCATGTGCTGCTGTGGCATGACTCAAATTGAACAGAAACAGCTGCAAACATCCATTAATAATTGGAACATGGAATGTAAGAAATATGAATCTAGGAAAATTGGAAGTTGTCAAAAATGAAATGGAATGCATAAAGATTGATATCCTAGGCATTAGTGAGCTGAAAAGGACAGGTTTGGGCCATTTTGAATCAGACAACCAAATGATCTGCTAGGCTGGGAATGACAATTTGAAGAGGAATGGCATAGCATTCATCATCACAAAGGATGTTTCAAGATCTGTCCTGAAGTACAGTGCTGTCAGTGATAGGATAATATACATATGCCTACAAGGAAGACTCATTAATACTATGATTATTCAAATTTCTGCACCAACTATGAAAGTCAAAGATGAGGAAATTGAAGATTTTTATCAATTTCTGCAGTCTGAAATTGACCAAACATGCACTCAGGATGTGTTAATTATCACTGGTGACTGGAATGCAAAAGTTCAAAACAAAGAAGAATGCCTGGTAGTTGGAAAATTTGGCAATGGTGACAGAAATGATTCTGGAGATCGCATTATAGAATTTTGCAAGACCAACAACTTATTCATTGCAAATACCTTTTTTCAAGAATACAAATGGTGGCTACATATGTGGACTTCACCAGATGAGTACACAGGAATCAGATTGACTACATCTGTGGCAAGAGATGGTGGAAAACTCAATGTCTTCAGCCAAAACCAGGCCAGGAGCTGATTGTGGAACAGACCATCAACTGCTCATATGCAAGTTCAACTTGAAGTTGAAGACAATTAAAACAAGTCCATGGGAGCCAAAATATGATCTTGAATATATCCCTCCTGAATTTAGAGACCATCTAAAGAATAGATTTGATGCATTGAACACCAATGACCGAAAACCAGAAGAATTGTGGGATGACATCAAAAGCATCATCCATGAAGAAAGCAAGAAATCTTTAAAAATACGAGAAAGAAAGACAGGACCAAAATGGATGTCAGAAGAGACTGAAACTTGCCCATGAGCAAAGAGTAGCTAAGCCAAATGGAAGAAATGACAAGACAAAAGAGATGAACAGAGGATTTCAAAGAGCAGCTTGAGCAGACAAAGCCAATTACTATAATGAAATGTGCAAAGACCTGGAGTTAGAAAACAAAAAGGTAAGAACATGCTCACCATTTCTCAAACTGAAAGAACTGAGAAAAAACTTTAAGCCTCGAGTTGCGATATTGAAAGATTCTATGGGCAAAACAGTGAATGATGTGGGAAGCATCAAAAGAAGATGGAAGGAGTACACAGAGTCACTGTACCAAAAAGAACTGGTCGATCTTCATCCATTTCAGGAGGTGACATATGTTCAAGATCCAATAGTACTGAAGGAAGAAGTCGAAGCTGCACTGAAGGAATTGGCAAAAAACAAGGCTCCAGGAATTGACAGAATACCCATTGAGATGTTTCAACAAACTGATGCCCCACTGGAGGCACTCACTTGGCTATGCCAAGAGATTTGGAAGACAGCTACCTGACCAACTGACTGCAAGAGATCCATATTTGTACCCACTCCAAAGAAAGGTGATCCTGCACAATGTAGAAATTATCAAACAGTATCATTAATATCACATGCAAGTAAAATCTTACTGAAGATAATTCAAAAATAGTTGCAGCAGTATATTGACAGAGAACTTCCAGAAATGCAGGCTGGATTCAGAAGAAGACGTGGAGTGGGGGATATCATTGCTGATGTCAGATGGATCTTGGCTCAAAACAAAGAATACCAGAAAGATGTTTACTTGTGTTTTATTGACTATGCAAAAGCATTT